CCCCCGGGAAAAGAGCTGGAAGCCCGGCTCTGAGGTCGCTGCTTCAGCTCCCCCCCCACCCCTCCAAGGCAGAGGCGCCCCCACCTGGCGGAGCTGGGAGGAGCCCAGAGCCGGGCTGCTGGGTCCTGGTGACAGCCCCGCTGCTGCAGCTTTTCTTGTCGGGGAGTACACGGGCGGCGGGACCGCGCGGTCCCGCAGTCCGTGTTCGTAACTGCGGATCCGACGTAAGTCGGGGACTGCCTGTAATACAATAATTTCATATGGATTATAATTGTTCATTATCTACCTAAAACAGAACCCTGCTTCTTTTAGTCTTCTGATTGATTTTTCACCATATTTTTACACTGATAATACCAAAGTAATTTAGGTAGCATGAACCTGAATAAAATACCCTGGGTCTTAGTGTTCAAACGCTCTCTTGTTCCTATCCCTGCACTCACTCTTAAGGGGACATGCTGTTTTTATTTATTTATTTATTTATTTATTTGCTTAATAAGTCTTGGAGTCCTTTTTTTTCCCCCTAAGAACTTTGGTCTCTCCCTCCTCCCTTTTTTCCTTCAACAGAATTTTTTCCCGGTGTTTTTTTGAGGGAAGATGGGGGGTGTTCGGTATTTTTGTTTCAACCATCTGGCAACCCTAGTCGTGGGTAGATAGAGAAATGTATGTTTAGTTGTGATCAGGGTATTTTTCTTTATTTCGCTGTTTGGTTAAAATTTCTGTGTGCAATCCATGTGCTTCCCCCCTCCCCCATTCACTATACCTAAGCTGTGCCAGAGAGACCATTTTTTCCTCTGTTTTAATCTGTTCTTTTCTCAGTTGCTCTGTAACACCTAGCAAACAAGTATGCTTTATCGAGTATATCTTTTTCTTTTGTTAATAAAATCACCTTTTTTAAGGCAATGATTTCATTCTTGTGTCCTGGAAGGTAACATGTCTCTGCGTGTGCCTGCTTAGGCTAAGAGGTCAGCTACTAGAGACTGCAGTTTGTGTTATGTTTTCTCTTTCAAGCTCTCTTGTTGTAAAAGAGCTTGGGGGAGGGGGTACTCTGGAAGAAGTTCAAGTGATTCTTCCAGGGTTTTAAAAGAAGGAGTTGGACACTTGATGGCAGCAGCCTATCTCCCAGAGCCAGTGAATCTGTGACTGGGGAGTTTTTGTAAGCAGAGTCTTGTAGGCAAGGTATTTTGTAAGCAGAGTCTTGTAGGCAAGGCAGAGTGCCAGAGTGGGTGACAGCCCTGATGTGGTGGCAGAGCAGTGGGATCATTTTGAACCAGGAACACAGACCTCAGGAATGGATGGATCAGTGGCAAGAAGAAGCAGACCAATGGTGAGGCCTTGGGTGGAAGTGTGGGCTGGGGGCAGAATAAATGTTTAGAGTAAATTTACTATAATGAAATCAGCATATGAACCCAAGGTATAATTATACACATGATTAAGGACAGTTACTACTTTTAAAAAAGTAACAGAAATTTGTGAAAGCAGTTTGACATTGACAGACACGATTTACTAAAGCATCCATAATTCTCCAAGTAACCACTGCATAATGTACCATCCCACTATAAAATCACCCCTGGAGTTAATTCCAACATAAAAATCTAGGGGATGTTACAATTTTCAAATTCAGGTGAGATTAGCTTTCAGGGTTGCTCTAACATGCAGCAGGTAATAATGACTCCCTAGGCGCCACGATGTAGAGGGGGGGGATGCCATAGAATGCAGTGCACTCGAATCACAGCACACTTTCCTTCTCTGTGCTGGTACTCGGAGGCAGGAAAAATGGCATTGAATTGACTTTGCAGTTTTAAACCAGTTTTCTATCTCCTTTTGTGTCTTTGAAGCAGCACAAAGGGGCCTGAATTGCAACTGGGATCTGGCTCAGTCTTTTCAAAAAGCAGAATTACATGTAACTTCCTTCTAAGTTAGATGGGGCCCATATCTGCTAAGGATATTTTGGGGGATTTTTTTGAGGAATTGTCCTTCACAGATGCTATGTATCATCACCAGCCAGTCTAGGGTTTTAAATCTACTCTTCCTGCCTGGGGACTGGAATTAAGGTTGTTTTTACCCTCTCTTGCCCTTCAATAGCTTGGTTCCATCTGCAGGAGGCTGACAAACCCATGAATATGAAATGATTCTTCTGGTCAGGGTCTCAAGGGAGACTAGGCGACCACCTTCTCCTTTATCATCTAAGATTGCTGCCAACCCTCTCATCCTTTGCTGAGAGAGACCATGATTGGCCTCAGTTGGAGGCTTTTGCTTCTATAGCTGGCAGCATAAGAAACTCTCTTTGAAACTCAGATAATGAGCTTAACCCTTCCCCAGAACCAAGACCTGTATGAGCTATATAACCCCACCAGCATAATGAATCTGTGGCTGCGTGATCATCACATTTGTTAGTGATAGAAACATGTATATTTTATGCAGTAGGTCCCAAGGTATATGATGTCTGTACAATGTGCATAGGGGGAGGGGAGCCTGTCATGGAATTGTTTCACAGACCCATCACAGATGAGACTTGACCTCTTGTGAATTTTGAGCTCTTGTGAATTCATAGGGCAAGAGGCTGTGGTCTACTCCCCTTACACTTCCCTAGTGATACAAAGGAAGTGGAGGGTGGCTGCTTTCCTTGGGCTGAGGTTCCCTGTGGCATAGGAAAACCCCAAAGGTGCAGATCTAGTAGAGCCAGCTCCTACACAATACCTCCTGCCACCTCTGGTGGGTGAGGTCTGTTGGGAGCAGGACAATAGCCATCCATCTGACAGCCATGGAGCCTGCATTCACTGGACTGTGGAGGCACTTGAGTCTTATCATACAGGAAATGACTGAGGGCCCTACAGCACTTTACTTTTAAAATCAAAGCATGAAATCTATAATTTGATGGTTTTCAGATTTTCCAGGCATCCCTCCCACTGGCTGATTGCCACCCTGCTGACCTTGTTGCAGAGCTATTTGCTTTTTCAATATACTGAACATGTTCAGTACAAACCTGTGTTATTTTTCAACCAAAAAACCAACGTTTTGTGTAAAAGACGCTGTTTATCTTGCAGTGAGCGTGATAAAGTGCAGATGGACACTCATTTTACAAATACGATTCTTGGCTATTTGTTTGTTGATTAATTAGTTCTCTCGAAGCAAATGTCTTTGGTGTTAACTCCTGCTTGTAGGTTACCAATATGTGAACTGACTCATAAGCCACATTCTTTGTTTGGATCTCATTTACCTAAAATAGAAAGTCACTTTTCCCTATGTGCCAATAGTCCCCAAAATGCCTGTCATGCCCCCAACCTGCTCAGCTCCTTGGGTTGCAGCTAGACTTCAAGCCCACAATGCTTTCCCTTCTCATTTTCTCCCCTTTCTCTTTTTCTGTTTCTCCCTCGTGATTTTATTGTGTCTTTCCCTTGGCTCTTCCAAATCACTCTGCTCCCCTCCCCCCAGCCTCCACCTCCTCCAACTCCTGTGATGAACTTTGTTCCCTGCCCACATGTGGGTCCGGTCTTTATTGACTTTGATCAGGTACTGAGTGGCTGGGCTGACATCACTTCTACTCCAAGCACAACAGATGTGAGCTAGGGGCATGAGAAGAAGCAGAGTATCTCAGCACCTAGGATTTCCTTTTTGGGGATGGGGGGGTGGGTTGCTCCCTAGAATGCCCATAGTGAAGAGCCTACTGACGGGCATTAATAGGCGGCTTAGGGGTTCCACTAAGTGACAGGGATTTCAGTGGGTGATTCTTTTTGTCACTGTTTTCCACTGGCTGTCACTGTTCGCTGGAGGCTGTCGACGTGGTGGATCCTAAGGGAAAAAAGGAAGACTGAAACTCTTTGAGTAATAAATTAACATAAGTGACATACATGTTTGTTGACATAGGATTTGATGACTTCCATGCTTGTGCTGATCCTGGAGTCCCTGAACATGGATACAAGACACCCAGCACAGGTGTTTTCTTTGAAAGTGCTGTAGTCCGTCTTCACTGTCAAGAAGGATACAGGCTCAAGGGTCCTTCAAAAAAAATCTGTGTGAGACATTTTAATGGCTCCTTGAGCTGGAAACCGAGTGACAAAGCTGTGTGCCTGCAAGAAGGTGAGTTTTGAACATTTCACAAACAGCAGTCATGATCACTTGTGTACAGACCATTACACTTCCCTGCAGTGTGCGCAAGTCTGTAAACACATTTCATAGGATTACATTCAATGTGTGTTAATTTTTGAGTTAAATTTTTATCCAGATAACGTAACTAGCATGCACATGTGTTTGCTGTGTGGGCAGGAACAGGGGAAGCAAATGAATCTTAGCCATGAAAGTAATAATGTCCAATTACAAATAGATTTATCACTGTTTTTGTCAAAACACACAGAGAGAGAATAATGCCATTAATAACAGTAGCATTTATTACTGTTACTGTCCACTTAGTGCTCCTTTTTGTAATATGTTGCCATGAAAATATAATTCATTTCTAATGGTACCATAGATATAAGCTAATAAGAGGCATAAATCAATTATTATTTATTACATGTATATGCATAATTAGAGGATGAAATAGGCATGGCAAGCACAATATATGTTTACTTTAAGTATTTTAGAATTTCCTGTGGTGAAACCAACTTCATTTTTGTTATCTGTAAATATGTTCTGTTTAAAAATGTATATTTTGTTCTAAGAAATTGGGACACTGTTACTTTTTCTTCCAAGATGTTTGATAGAAGCAGGATTAGACTACCCAATTGCAAACATTAATTTTGGCTAAACATGTGTCCAAGTAGTACACTACGTATGATTCCTTTCACCAAGTATATTAAAACTATCTCTTCTTTCTACAATTGATTTTTTTGTTGTTGTTCAACAGAGATACTATAATCAAGAGACATAAAAAGTGTCAACAGGATTTAGTGTGAATGCTTTACCTCCTATGAAACTTCATAAATAATATTTGGCTGGCAATGTTATCTCTTTATTATAATAAAAACTGTGGGGCAGATATTCAGCTGGTGGAGTCACACTGATTTACTCTAGCCGAGCAGCTTGCCCTGTGTATTGAGGAAGATTTTTTTTTCTTCTGCTGTTTGTTCTTTTTTCCCCCTAAGGTCTGGTCTACATTAGGACCTTAGTCCGAAATACCACACCCCCCAAGTTGAATTTGTAAACGATGTGTCCACACTTCCAAGCCCATTATTCCAGAATAATGGGCCATGGAATTCAAACTCTGCAGTCCTGTTTTTCATGAGGAATAACACTATTCCAGAACTTGTAAGTCCAAAATAACATTAGTGTGGACACCCTGGCCCTGCTAATTCAAACTTATTGGCTTCCTGGAGGCATCCTTCAGCTCCCCAGAGTGTTTCCTGTGGCTCTGAGTCCTAGGTAGCGCGTCAACATTAATTGAGCCTGCCTTGGACTATATTCGATTCTTCCCTGTAGTGAGGACACGGAAGTTTGAGTTTATAAAATCGAGTGCCTAGAAGTTGAACTTAGTAAATTTGAAATAATCTCTTACTGTAGACATGGCCTAACAGTATACCTGTTGGCTGCGTCTACACTGGCATGATTTTCCAAAAATGCTTTTAACTGAAAAGTTTTCCATTAAAAGCATTTTTGGAAAAGCACATCAAGATTGGCAGGATGCTTTTCCGCAAAAGCATTTTTTGAGGAAAAGCATCCATGGCCAATCTAGATGTGGTTTTCCGCAAAAAAGCCCTGATCGCCATTTTCGCGATTGGGGCTTTTTTGCATAAAACAGTACTGTGCTGTTTACACTGGCCCTCTTGCGCAAATGATTTGTGCAAGAGGGCTTTTGCCTGAACGGGAGCAGCACAATATTTCCGCAAGAACACTGACGATCTTACATGAGATCGTCAGTGTTCTTGCGGAAATTCAAACGACCAGTGTAAACAGCTGGCAAGTTTTTCCGCAAAATCAGATGATTTTGCAGAAAAACTTGCCAGTCTAGATGGCCAGTCTAAATGGGATCTGATTTTGCTCCCATTAAAGTCAGAGACAAATTGCCCATTGACTTTAATGAGAGCAGGGTTGAATTTTATTTGTTAAGACTCCCTTCACGTAAAAGAAGGTAAAATACCATTACCTAGATCTACAGATCTGACTCAAAAGAAACAACTGAAAACTATATGGACTGTAGAATCTTTTATTTCACAGGTCATAGCGATGTGAGCAAGATTTAGCCCAGCATGTACAGTAACAGCAAATATATCATGCAGGAAAAAAACCTTTTATATTTTTCCAGTTGTTCTGAATCACATGTTCTATGCATGAAATGTACGGAAACCCATAATTTTGGATGATAAAATTGTATCCTGGTTTCATGTTATTTCAGAGCCATGATAACTGATCCTTTTGCAGTCACAGTCTGTTCATCTACAAGTTTGACATTGTTACCCTGGGCTTGAATAAAAACATCAATTGGTTGGTGCATTACCAAGCCAATTTCCCCTGCTTTTAACATCTGCATTTTCAAATCAAAAGCTATGATTGGGACACATCCAGCCCACTTAATTAACCTCATTAACAAGAGGTCCTACAATTGTCCTGTATTTTGTTACAATTGACATGTACTTCTTTTGCTGATATATATATCTAGGTTTCTGTTATTTCCATTTTAACTCATCTGATGAAGTGGGTTTTGCCCATGAAAAATCATGATTCTATATATTTTTATTAGTCTCTAAGGTGCCCCAAGACCACTTGTTTTTAAAGTTACAGACTAACACGACTACCCCTCTGAGTCTGTTCTCGGTACTTTTTCTTTTAGTAATTCTCATTAGTAGTATTGTTTTTGTTTTTTGTTTTTAATAGAATGACATGAGAGTTTTGTTCCATTCCATTGTCAATGCAGGAAATTACCATCTTCCCAGGACAATTCAATCCACATTTGAAAGACACTTTTGTTGTGTGATGCTTTGCACATTTCATGCTGTGGCAGAAATAATCCTGTAGATGTGACACAGTAAAATAGCAGAGGTTTTTTATTTCACTGTTTTATCACCAGCAAAATAGTTACAAATAAAAACTCTGCCACAGTTTAACAGCACAAATGTTCATATGCTTGCATATTCAGTTCACCTGGCATTAGCATACATGTTCTCTGGCCAAATGAGGATTAGTGAAACAATGCAAATGGAATGACAATGGAAACAATTATTTTTAAAACGAGCAATACAGCTAGGGGAAAAAAGACAGTATCTTGTAAAAATGTATTTCTTGTAAACATTGCTACGTGTTTGCTTGGGGATTTCTTCTGCATATCTCTGAGACAGTATGGCTACGTCTACACTGTCCCCTTTTCCGGAAGGGGCATGTTAATTTCACCTATCGTAGTAGGGAAATCCGCGGGGGATTTAAATATCCCCCGCGGCATTTAAATAAAAATGTCCGCCGCTTTTTTCCGGCTTTTAAAAAAGCCGGAAAAGAGCGTCTACACTGGCCCCGATCCTCCGGAAAAAGCGCCCTTTTCCGGAGGCTCTTATTCCTGGCCCTTTTCCGGAGGATCGGGGCCAGTCTAGACGCTCTTTTCCGGCTTTTTTAAAAGCCGGAAAAAAGCGGCGGACATTTTTATTTAAATGCCGCGGGGGATATTTAAATCCCCCGCGGATTTCCCTACTACGATAGGTGAAATTAACATGCCCCTTCCGGAAAAGGGGCCAGTGTAGACGAGCCCTATATGTATTTCTTGTTGCAACCGTTACACTAAGCATTAATATGTTTTTATTATATTAACAAATAACAGTTTATTAGAATTCATGTATGAAATTATGCCTTTATAGATAGCAAAAACTCCCATTAAGTTCATTGGGGTCAAGATTTCACCTCATGTGTGGGACAGAAATGTGATGGGCTGAGTTCCCAAAATCTCACTAGAGGAGATCATTAATTTGCAGCATTGGGTCATTAAATAGCATTGCCTGTCATGGCCTTAATGCAGCAAAAACTGAATCAAAGAATCATAGAAGGTTAGGGTTGGAAGAGACTTCAGGAGATCACCTGGTCCAACTCCCCTGATTAGACTACTAATGTGATTAGAGTAAAGCATATGCTTAAGGCCATTATTTTTGGTCTGGGGCCCAAGAGCATAAGGCTCTTGTTGAGGAAAACAGCTAAACCATATGCTTAAATACTTGACTGGTTAGGATGATTTCCTGAATATTAAATACTGTACTATAAAAGAACAGAATTTAGCAATTAAATTTTAGATGATATAGTTCATCCCCCTGCCAATGCATATTATAGCCTCTGATTCAGAAAAACACTTAAGCACATGTAAAACTTTGTATATATGCTTTCCTGAATGGGGAACTTAGTCACTAGGCAAGTGAATTGTAGATTGATAGGCAATACAGTTGCATGGCACATTTGGAGTGTAATTGGGAGGAGTTCTAACACCTTTTGGGGTTCTCATGGCATCTGCATCACAGACATTTTCTTCTTTAATGATATGTGTAGAAATTTCAAGCAATTAGTGGTGAAGCAGGCTTTTTAATATTTTTAACATACATCATTATAGCACAGCAGAAGGTGAAATAATCTTTGTGTTAAAAGCACTACTTGACTGTTTAAGACAGATGTTGATTGCTATATTTGCCACTGTGCCTTATATAAGTTTCAGGTACTGCCACCTGGACCATTAAAATAACTGTTTTTCTAATGTTCTTCATATTAAAACTTTAGCATCAATAACTATTAACATATCACAGTTGGTTTTAAATTTAACCCTAAAAGTCTGACATTAATAGGACAAACTTAAAAAATAACAAATAGTCTTGCAGCTTTTTAGAGACTCTCAAAATTTGTAGATGGTTTAATGAGTTTTCATGGGCACAACCCGCTTCTTCAATGGGTTGTGCCGAAGAAAACTCATGATACCATCTACAAATTTTGTAAGTCTTTAAGGTGCTTCAAGACTATTCATTATTTTAAAAGTTTTTTCAGTTACAAACTAACACCGCTACCCCCTGAAACATTAATAGGACAAGTTATGTATGTAAAATTATTTCTTAACAATTTGTAAAAAAATCTGAAATTGATATTTGTTTTGCTGTTTAAAAAACTATGAAATGTAAATCTATATAAAA